GACGTCGGAGCCGATGGGTGCCGTGGGTTCTTTTCTTTTCGGTCGGGGTGAACGTGGGAGCACGAAAAGAAGAAAAGCAGGGAGGGGGGAGAAAGGGGGGGGTTGAACCGCAGCGCACGGACCCCGCGGAGGTGGGGAGGGGGAAAGAAGTTTTCAGAGCCGCGTTGTGACTTGGAGGATCGGGATGGAGGGGTTGGGGGGGTTATCGGAACCCCCCCCAGCTAACATTGGAGCACCGAAACGGATCCCACGGACCGGGCCGGACCTCAGCAGACGTCCCACGGACACCCAGCCTTATTTCTCGGTGTTCCCCGAGGGGAGCGGAGCCGCTGTTCCCTCCGGCACCGGACCCCCCCACCTCAACCCCACTCCTTTCTGCCTGAATAATTAATGGCTCATCTGCGCACGGGGCGACGAGAAAAGGGAATTGGAGTGGAAAGAGGAAAAAAAAAAAAAAAAAAAAAGCAGCAATTGCCATTTCTCGGGGCCCGGCGTGTTTATCGATCCCGGATTTACTGGCTCGGACAAACACATCGGGTTCACTCCTGAACCCGTTTGCAACCCATTTTCCCCTCTCACACAACGGGGGACGAAGCTCTGTGTCCCCCCCCCAGCCTCGCAATGGGGGATACGGGGCAGCCCCCTCCCCTATAAGCGCGTTTGTCGCAGTTAGAAGGGCCGAGGTGCGGCCGCGCCGTCGGGGTTCGAGGCCGAGGATGATCGTGGGGTCCCTTTCGACCGACGGTCTCCCCCAACCCCGTGTCCTGGGGGGGTCCCTGACCCATATCAGCCCCCCCCGAGCGCTTTTGGTGCTGTCCCGATCCGATCCACGAAGAAAAAGCGAAACGAAACCGGAGCCCACCGGGGAGACAGCGGGGCCGGGGGTTGGGAACAAAGCGGGGAGCGACGTGGGGGGGTCAAAACGGTCCGGGAAAATACGGAGCTCGGATTCGGATCGTCGGTGGGGCGGCCCTATGGGGGCACAGCCCGGTCCTGTCGGGATTATCGGAGTTGAACGGAGTTGAATTCATCGCAAGGAGCGTCGCTTTGGGTTGTTTTGATTTTTGTTGTTGTTGTTGTTCTGTTTCGTTTCGTTTTCGCAGAAAGCAAAAGAATGAAAACCTGAAGAAATGCGGATTATTAATTATTCTTTGGTTGTTCGCTTTTGTTTTAGATTAGATTTTTGTTTCGATTTTTGTTTCCTCTCTATTTTCGGAAATCCTTTCGGCTCTGTGAATTCAAAACCATTTTAAGGAGAAGGAATCCTAACCCGAAATCCCGACAGCGCGGAGAGGAGCGGAGCAAAACCCGAACCCCAACGGCAGCACCGCACCGCAGCGATGGGAAACGAATCATCCGGACCCCCCCAGAGCCCCCAGATTCTCCCCAATCTTCCTTCCTTTGCAGCACGGTTATTATTTCAGATTTGGGCTCAATTAGCCCCAACAACGGGGGCATTAAAACGGCAGTGTTTAAATCTTTATTTACCAGAACCTTGTAAAGCCAGGAACAATTTGCATTCTATTAACTGCTTTTCAATAGGGCATCGACTGGAACTAAAAGATGCCACTACCCTGTCCTAATTAAAGAGCAACTGAATTACGCTAAATACATATGAACGCCGCTCTCCTCCATAAATAACGGCTTCGCAGCGCCCGCGGGGAGCGGAGATCGGTGCAGACCCCCCCAAAATCCCCCCCTCAACCCCAAGCATTCACCCCACGACCCCCCCACGGAGCACAGAGATGTGGGGCCATCACTGCTGCGCACCCACAGCCGCCGCGACCCCTCCGAGCCCCACGCAGCTCCGCGCAGAAAACGCTTTTTTCTTATTGCTGTTGGGTTTTTTTTTCTCTTCTCCCCTCCTTTCCCCCTTTTTCCCCTCCTCCCTCCTTCTTTCTTTTTCCTTCATTCCCCCCCCCCCACCTTTCTTTTTCTCCCTTTTCTTTTCTCCCCTCCCTTTTTTTTTTCCCCCCAGCTCTCGGCCCAACGCCGAGCGGATCCCCGCCGACCCCGCACTGATCAGCGCAGAAAACGCTTTTCCTTTTTTTCCCTTTTCCCCTTTTTTTCCCTCTTCCCCCCCCCCTTTTCACCCCCTTTCCATTTCTCTTTCCATTTCCTTCCACTTCCCTTTTGTTTTTCCTTTTTTCCCTCCTTTTCCCCCTCACTTTTCCCCCTCTTTCCCTCCTCCTTTCCTTTTTCCATTTTCCCCTTCATTTCTCTTTTTCCCCCCCTTTCTTTTCCCTCCTTTTATTTCCCCCAGCAAATCTCGGCCCAGCGCCGGCCTGAGGCAGAGCGATCCCCCTCCGTGCCCTGCACTGATCCCCCCAAAAAACGCTTTTCTCTTCTCTTTTCCCCTTCCCCTCCTTCATTCTCCTTTTCTCCTTCCATTTATTCCCCCCCCCCCCTTTTTTTTCCCCTTTCTTTCTGCCTTTATTTTCCTCCCTCTAAACGCGCATCTCTCGGCCCAGCACCGGGCTCAGCTCCACCACGGCCTCACTCAAACCCCCCCCCGGATCCCTCCTCCCAATTTTCGCACCCCTCCCCGGTTCCATCGCTGTTTCCCCGCTGCTGGGAGCCCCGGGATGGGACACATCGCTGATCCCGAGGGCTGTCGGCGGTTCTCCGGGTTTTGGGGGCGGGGAAGGAAGGGGTGACGGGTCCAAATAGGGAACGATTCCCAACGGGAGCAGCACTTCAATGCTCCCATCGCTGTCAGGAGCAGCCTGAGGGCAGAGGAGGGAGGGGGCGGGGGGGGGGGGGGGGGGGGTGGCGGTGTAATCATTCGGATTTCCTCCTTCTCCTTCTATAGGATTTCCTCCTTTTTCCTCTCTAGGATTTCCTCTTTCTCCTCTAAACGCTTCCACGCGGCTCCGTAACCCCCAGCCCCACAACCCCACCGGTGTGCGCCAGGGATCCCCAAGCTCGTAACACCCCCCCCACCCCCCCCCCCCCCCCCCCCCCCCCCCCCCCCCCCCCCCCCCCCCCCCCCCCCCCCCCCCCCCCCCCCCCCCAGCCTCCCCGTGTCCCCTCGCTTCCCCTCGCTCCGTACCTGCGAGCCTGAGCGCAGACATCCTCTGAAATTCGGGTTCCTGCAACCATTTCCACATCCTCCGGAAAGTCTCCCGACCCGATTTAAGCTTACTCCACGGTTTTGGGTTCCTCAGCAGATCCGAGAGGGTTCCCTGCGAACGGCACAAGATCCTCTGAGCGAAGATCGCCTGCGGGATGCTGTAACGTTTCAGCTCGGCCGTGATCCTTTGTGCCACCTCTTTGGTGTTGATTTCCTCAACCTGCCCCGATCCTCCGCTTTGTGATCCGCTGGCCGAGGCCTGGCGATCCCTTTCTGCCAGCAAAGAACCGCCGGCTTGGGGATGCGGGTGACCGTGAGGATGCATCCCGTTGAGGGGAGGCATCATAGCCGAGCTGGGGGCTCCCAAACCCCTCGCCAGGTGCTCCTCACCCCGGGACAGCATCGCGGCGTGAGAATCGAAGCCGTTGGGCGACAGCATCTTGTCGTTGGGCAAGTGGCCGCCGGGACCGTACGGAGTCAGAGGTTGCTGAGCGTTGTGCAGGCTGCCCAGCCCGTTGGGGAGAGGAGAGAGGGGCTGCCCCATAGCCGGCATGTCCTTGGGGTAGTGGCTGTAGAGGTTGCCCATGGAAGCGAGGCTGCGTTCGTCCCTCATCAGGGTGAAGCTGCCGCTCACGTTGCCGGCCAGGCGTTGGTGCGGATGGTGGTGGTGGTGATGGTGGTGGTGAGGGTGATGGAACTTCTCGGATACGGTGGAGATGGGCGGCAGGTGCTGCAGGGGGGTGAGCGTGGTGTAGGTGCTGCTCAGGCTCATCCCGGACGGCGATTCGCAGGACATGCTCATGGCCGGGTGCAGAGGGGCCGTCAGGCTGTGCTCGGCTCTGTAATCTCCCCCTTCCAGGATGGATGCCATACCCGACACCATAGCCGGCCGGCCGTGCGGGACCAGATTGCGGTGCGAGCTCTGCCTCCCGTGTGCGGGGCTCAGCAGCTCCGCGGGCTGCGAGTGCGGGACGCCGTGCAGGCTGCCCAGGTTCTCCATCGCCAGCTCCATGGTGGCTCTGCCGCTGCCTGTTCGCTCGCTGCCTTCCTCCCCCGCCCCCCTCCTCCTCCTCCTCCTCCTCCTCCTCCTCCTCCTCCTCCTCCTCCTCCACCACCCTCCCTCCCTTCCCCTTTTCCCCGGATTAATTCAGACTCCTCGTTTCGGGGATCGATCTCTCTCTCTTCTTTCTTTCTCTCTGTCTCCCCGCGTTCAGATCAGCATGATGAACCGCGCCCGACCGCCTTCCCCCAGCGCGGTGCGGTGCTGCGCGGAGCCGGGAGCGGTGCGGGGGAGCGGTGCGGAGCGGTGCGGGGCGGTGCGGGGCGGTGCGGGGCGGTGCGGGGCGGTGCGGGGCGGTGAGCTCGGGGCGGCTGCGGCGCCGGCTCCCGGCAGCCTCGCTCAGGGCCGCGGCGTGACGTCAGCACCGCCCCGCCTCCCCCC